CCCCAAAACCCCAAAACCCCAAAACCCCATCAACCTTAAAATTTGTTGTTTATTATAATATGAGTAATCAAATTTAAATTCCGTCCATTAACAATAACTATTAAATTATTCCTGCTACATCAGCTAATAATACTCAGGGTATGAATATTAATTATTGACATAAAATAGTGACATTACCTTCTAAGATTTCCCTTGGATTGATGAATTAGAGCAAGCAGTTCATTAGCAACATGCAAAATGATAAGGAATCATCAGAAATGACATTTTCACATGTTACTGGAGACTTACAATCTTAAGTCACTTGCTCACTAGATGATACTTTCAACAATAGTAGCGCTAAGAAATTAATGGAATAAAATAACATGCCTGGAGCGAAAGCAATTAATTTTTACGAAGAATCTTAAATTGCTAAGATATATGGAATGACCGAGGATTACACTCCTCCTAATAGAACTAAATCTGCATATTAAATCTTTACAGAGCATGTAAGTTAAGGGTATCTTTAATATTATATAGAAAAGAGAAGAAATATTAGAAGATAATCCGAATATATCTTTAAATGATCTGACAAGAGAAATAGCTAAAAGCTGGGCGAAGTTGGATAATGACTAAAAGGCTAGGTTTGTCGAGGAATCAGCCAAAGATAAAGAAAGGTATCTAAATGAAATCAGGAATCTTCCTGTACCTCTATACAGAAACAAAAGACCTAGAAGGAGAAGGGATAGTAGAAAACCTAAGAAAGTACTAACTCCATATATGTTCTTTGTAAAAGAGGTAATCCTTGACTATATCATAATATTTTGTAGAATCGCCCTAAAATAATGAGGGAAAACGCATCAATGTCATTTTTAGAAGTTATGAGAGAGGTTGGTGAAAGATGGAATAAACTAAGTGAGATAGAAAAAGAGCCTTTCAAGGAGAGATCGATGGAGGATAAGAGAAGATATCTTGAGGAATAAGAAGTTTTTATTAGACAGAGATTTGCTTTTCCATCAAATACTTTTGATCAAAGATTGGCATAAACCACAACTCAGTAGCCAAAGAGGCCTATAACTGGGTTTCAAATGTATTTAAGAGAGTTAAGAGAGAAATTGAAGAAAGATAATCCTAAATTAGTTATGTCAGAGTTTATGAAGTAAGCATCAATGAATTGGACTCGAATGAGCTAGGCAGAGAAAAAGAGGTATGATCACTTGGTTGAAAAGGATAGGCTCAGATTTGATGAATAGTTCCTTGATTATAAGAAGAATCTCTAACTTGATTTGCAAGAATCTCAAGCGGTTTCTACTTACTCTGAGAGTTTCTCTGAACTTGATCAAGGTTATGTGCTTAATAAGGACTAACTTAGCTAATAATCAAGTAAAACAGAAAAATCATTGAATAGAATTGCTAAGTTTGATTAAATAAAAAATTAATCAGTGCAAAAACTCAATCCTGAATAAGTTACTTTTACAGCGAAAGTTAATAGTCTCTCTTTAAGAAATAAGGAAATTTAAAAGTTAGGAAAGGATGATGATTCAGATATTGAAATTGATGAGTTATGAATAAAGGATAATTTAATAATTAAGATATTTAGGATTATTTATGAAATTAAGAATTAATAAATTTTAAGTTCAAAGCTAATCATATTCCACTTTTTCTATGGATGGTTCTTGAATTTTCTTTTATGCTATTTTAGGCAAATTTTATTTAAGATTCTAGGAACTTTTAGCATGATAAAATCTGCTTTATTTGGATTCCTTTCCAACAAATTTCTGGCCCTATACTTAGTCGTTAAATGAAGGGTCAATAAATTAATCTTTAGATTTGTTATGACTAATTACATTCTGTACCCTTTTATGAGGTGAATGTGATTTATTTTTAATAATCTCTTGTATTTGTTTATTAAACGTCTATATTTACTGATTAGGAAATTCCTTTTCCTAATTATATGATTAAACATAGCCTATCGGCATTTAGGGATCTCGCTTTCTATAAGAGTTTATTGTCCTTAGCTTTTGATCCTCCTTAGTGGGAAGAAATTCATATTCTTAATTCATAGTTAGTCTTCTTTTTTCTAATATACTAAGGACTCCAAACTGCTTGAATACCTTCCCCTTCTGAAAGGTTTAATTAAAATTAGATTGATTTTAGCTGATCAAGCCAGTCATTGGAAGGCATTATTGAATATCTTTCTCAGCTCTTTTGATGAGTTACTTGTTAGTCCTTTGCTTTAGACTTAATAAAGGAATGTTTAATGTCTTAAAGTTTGATTGATAAATTAGCTAACTCTTGAAATCGCCTGACAATTGTCTATGGCTGTAATAATACTTATTATTACTACTTAATGCATTATCGTAATTTTTAAAAACCTTGTCTGATATAATAGTACTCTTGTCAATTCCAAATCCATCGGTTTTGCTTTGTATAAACTTATTGGCTCTTATATTTGATTTGATAAAGTCCTGCTCCTGGACTTAGCAAACTTAATTAAATTTATCCTTAAATTATCTATCCGTAAATGGTCTACTTTAAGAGCTACTCTCATTTAATTTATCTTTAGGTCTATGATACCCTTTTCTCTTAAATTCCCTTTCTGGCTCAGGATTTGAAGATCTTATCCTGCTTTGTCTAAATTAATTTCTTGGGGTATAACTCTTTTGAACTGAAGCTTCCTATATTTTTATTTTCGCTTGACTTGTAGTAACAATACTTTAAGAATTACGCTTGTGAGTAGTTATTTTATTAATTTTCTTAATCATTGAAAAGTTGCTTTTTTCTATTTAGCTAATGAATTCTTTTTAAAGTTACTCAGAATCATCAATTATAAAATTCGAGCTAAGAGTCTTGCTCTAATTTAGTCTCTTTTTCTTTTTTTCACTGCTATTTTACTAGTAAGCATCGAGAATTAATCTTTAGTCTTATTGGTTATACTAATTTTATGAAATTTCTCTTAGAGCTTCTAGGTAAGTCTAGCTATTAAGTTCTTGTGAAAATTTTTCGTAATTTTTTTCGTAAAGTGTACTCAAAGCTGAAGACTTAAATTTAAAATCTCTTTGAATTTGATCCTAAGATTGAAGTCTTGATGTAAGAAGATGCTAATCAAATATACTGTCTTTACTTTTACTTTCGTCCATCTAAGACTGCATGCTGTTGGTAAAGGCTAATTAGCTTTAAGCTCTTTCATTATGATACACTGCATTGCCATAATTAATTTCTAATTAGCCATATTAGTCTCTTGTAGTTACTAGCTGACCTTCAAGAGCTTGATTGATATCTTTAACATTTATTTTCATTTCTGAAGGTGATATTGCCATCCTTTTGTTTTTAATCTAGTTTTCTTACAACTTGCTAGCTGATTCATTGCTTTCTTAACTATTTTCCATAATTTAAATGTTATTATGAGGTGATAATGTATTCTTTTTGTTTATACTTCTTGGAGAATTTTTGGGACTATGACCTTTTGATTGTTATCTTCTGAAGTCGCTCGTTCCCTGCCTCATTAATTTTAGATTTATTTAGTCTAGTTTGCTTCCAAATTCTTATAAGTCATCATTTACCTGATAATCATCTTCCTTTTTAATCATTTCGAGTGCTGCTTATTGTCCTTTACAGACATCTGTGATTCTCTGCTTAAAAAAGATTCCTACATTTTATAGCATTTGTTCTTTCTTTTATTTGGTCTTAATTTCATTGAATTTCTAATTTTTCAATTTAGTTACTTAGGCAATATCTGTATCAATACTAGGTAAGGAATCCACATCATAGAAATATATTTGCTTAATCAGATCATCTTTACTTTTACCAGTTGACATTCTTAATCTCTTCTCACTTTATCTTAAAGGAGTTTTCCTTGAAGGTGAATTAGATTCATTTAAAACACTATTTCCTTAATTCTAGTTGCTTACTTAACCATTACTAGGTATGCCATGGCTCTAATAGTTTTTATGTTCGCTACTTTCCATGTCATTTTCCACTATAACGAAATCCCTATTCGAATTATACTCAGGGTTTAACTCTGATAAGCGTTTTGTGATATCAGCAGGATTTCCGAGATTGTTAAGACTTTGATTCATCAATGGGTTGTCCTAAATTGAAACATATCTTGTTAGAACTTTATCAGAGAGTTCATTTAACTTTTCATCATATTAGTTATTGTTTAGTTGCTCATTAAGTTACTTCATCAATTCATTTTCCTCTTCTAGTTTTTTCCTAAGTCTTATATTGTCTCTAGTTAGCCTATCTCGAATTTTTTTAGAATTTTTTTTCAGAAACTTAAATTTCATTGGCTTTTAGGCATCCTATGAACCATCTTGGTCCTAATCATTCAAACTTTGAAGTAAGTTCTGGTGAATGTTCATCAAAGTGTAGTCAGCCACTCCATTTTAGTCTCTGAATGAATCAGGAGAACTCTCAAGTTTGTTGCTATTTTTATTTATTTCGCTTTCTAAGGATTTGTTTCTCAATTTTTCTTTTTATTTCTAGGCATGAGTCAAATTTACATTCTAAGAAACTAGCAAGTTGGTCTTTTTTTACTTTAGATTTTCCAGTTATTTCTAGTTATCGTATTTAATTTGAAGCTTTTAATCTTTTAATTTATGTATGTCAGTTTTTATCTACTTTCTGGATAGATAAAGCTCATCTTTATAAAAACTCTACACTCATCCTAGCTACAACGGATCCATTAATATGTCTTTGTTTGAAGACCTAAGTGATAATATTTTTGAGTTCATATCATCATTTTGAAGAAATCGCTTAGATCTAGGGGAGTAATTTAGAGATGGCTTTAGTTTGGCCATATAGATACTTTTACTCCACAAAATATCCAGGATTTCTGGAGTGATATCAAATTAGTTATGCATATTTTAATTTAATATTTAAAATTTATTAAAAACATCTCTCATTAAATCAAGCATTTGATTCTTTAAGGGGTTTTGGGGTTTTGGGGTTTTGGGG